GTTTTAGCACTCAGTATCACAGTGATGCTATTACATTAGAATGTAAGAAAATGTAAAGTTGCCATGAAGTCCATCAGTTTAAGTACAACATCTCCTTACTCGAGCCCTTCATGAGCAAGCTCCATCATATCTTAAAGAGCTCATGGTAGTTTGAATTTGGGAAATCTGGGACATTGGGTAATGTGGGACACCTCAGCTTCAGTCTGTTTATTTCCGAAAATCTAGTTAGCATGGATATTATGTGACTGAATCACATGACTTCATGAGGGTGATGTCACAAAAAGAGGCTCCCCTTGGAATTGCATGGAAAGGTCAGTGACATGAGATTATTGTTCAGGATATAAATCTGTCATAAATGCTGTTATCAAATTATGTGTGTGCAGAAACAGATGCATTGAGTTGTTTAAAATGTGTTTTTTTTTTTTTCAAAGATATTTTAGGTGTCTGACTTCAAACATCATTGATAATGTGGGACATCATGCTTTGGGTAATCTGGGGCAGTCATTTAAGTTCTCTAAAGGGGAAATATGCATTTAGTAATTCTGAAGTAAAAAAAAAAAGGATAAACTTTAGAGATGTAGCTGCAGTTGTCAGACAGGAATTAATCGCAAATACAGTCTGTCCCTGGGGTTTGAAAAAATAATACTTTTATGTGTCAATATGAATTAAGGAAATCTCTATGAATAATATAAATTCTCTTATTCAGCTTTCTGTGATTTTTCCCCTAATGCTTAATGGCCTCTATTTATATACTGTAGCACTCATAGTCTTGATGACTATTGACCACTCAAAGTACTTTACAGTACAGTTTATTGCCATTCACCCATTCACACACTCATTCACACAGTACATCTATGGGCAGCACTTTTTCTATGAGGGGCAATTTGGGGTTCAGTAACTTGCCCAAGGACCCTTGCAGGTTGGGAAGACTGGGATCTAACTGTGGCCCTCCTGGCTAAAGGGCGACCCCTCCACCCCCTCAGCCAAAAATTGATAACATTGATCTTGGCATACATAAAGCAAGGTGATTTAGGCTCTTTTAAAAGCCTAATACAAGTTACCCAGATTACAAAGTGACCTGTCCCACATCATCAAATTCAGGGAGGATTTACTTTATTGGTACAAAGAACACTAGTAGCTGTGTCATGTCTCCTCTGGGAATTCTTTCTTCTGGTGTGGTTAGAAAACATTTTAAGGATCACAGAAAGGTATACTATGTAGATCTAAGGTGAAAAACAGATATGGGAATCATTTGGAGATGTCAAAGTTGCAAAAAATGTTTACCTGAATTCACCAAACTTTAAAATCCCCTAACAGACCCTTTATCTCTCAAATACAGGATTACCTATGCTTGTAGTCAAGCGATGAGAGTCAAACAAGATGAAGATTTAGACATGTAAATGAATCTGAATGTATTGCTTTTAAGAAGTCCAAAAAGCCAGCATTAATAAAAGAGCAGAGAAGAGCTGAATGAAGTGATTCCAGACAATGATGGCGTTGTTCGTGGTGTCCGCACACTGCATGTTTACAATCATTACTGGCAGTCATGTATGGAAGACTGAGGTAAACAGATGGAGGAATGCAAAACCACAGAAGCAAGGTGTGGAAAATGGAGGGAGAGATAAGAACGCACTGCTAAGGTGGGAGAGATGTGAGTCAGATATAAAGAGGGAATCATAATATATGTGACGAGGGGAACAAAGACAACAATACTCTAGTGTGTACAGTACAAGTCACAGAATTCTGTCAATTATGGTTGGATACTTAGTTTTATTACTACGGATACAATTTAAATCATTAAAAATGTAATTGAGAACAAATTCAAGTGAATTTTGATGAAAAGTTATTTTTTTCTGTATCATTCTTTTTTTGCATTTCTTTCTTCTACTGTTGGAGTCTGTGCAGTTCTCCTGAGGTAGTAGACAGTACAGGAAAATACTCCCGGGCTGCATTTTAGTTTTTTATTCTTTTTATGGGAAACAAACAATCTAAGTTAATCACTGGGTCCAACAAAACAATCATTTCACTGTGCACACCCATTATGGCACATTAGCCTGTTAATTACACAGTGAGCACAGATGGCAGCAGCAGTGTTCGTGTGTGCTCTCATGGAAGTGTTGTTAAAAGATTAGTCTGAAGTTGCACTGGTTGTCCACTCACTCACTCATGGTTGTTCACTGGCAGGGTATGATTGAGCACTCCATTTAAAACAGTTCCCAAGCAAGAATGTACAAACTCATCACCACCTGACTCTTACTTTATGAGTGTAGTAGCATAAAAAAGTTAACAAAAAGTAGATTAAAAGACAGATATTCATTCATCCCTGTGTCCCAGAGTGAGCCTGTCATTGTGTTGGTGTGCATTCTGACTTGTTGTTACAGCCTGAGACTGCCTGGCAGTTATTGTCCAGAAGAAACTACACATTAAACAGAATGCATACTCACAAGTCTTGTTTATCGCTCTGGTTGTCAAGTGAGCCTACTTGGAAGTCAGAGAGAACGGAGCCACACTTGGGTCCCTCTTTTATCTCTCTTTCATCTCATAGGAACTAGACTAATTCCATAATGACATTGAAACACGTGAGGGGAAAGTCCACAGGTTCCTTAAAACAGATGCTTTCTGTTTTCTGAACCTGCAGTCAACAACATTCTAATGTAAACATCCAGGCATCTGATCAGACTAGACCAAAGTGGGACAAGAGCTAGGCGGAACATCTCACTGACATGATATAGATGTACAAATGATTTGCATTCCATTAATGAAATTAACTGAAAATCATGTCAGTAAAACAACAGACCTTGGAGAAATGGCTAAGGACAGAGGTCAATACAGGAAACAGTTCAGTAGGTGTGGCAGCTGAGCTCATCTGCAAACCTTGACTTATCTACATCAACATATAAACAGAAGGAAGCTCTGTCATCATTTGCTAAAAACACCCACACTCAAAATGGAACGCTTGTGTTACGAGTGTATCAGTTCTTCGTGACATGTTTTCCATGTCCCTCATGTCAGAGTTTCCAGGCACCGAGAGTTTGCACTGAAGCACGTGCAGACAGATGAATGCTTGTTATGTGCAGCATTCAGAGGTGCACTGGCAAAATAACATTTATGTAGATTGTGTGGACATTGAACAACCAGCACAGATATGAATGTCAGCTTCTAATATCCCACACATTAATATAATCTTTTCCCATAAAAGTTGTAAATATTATTAATGAATTACCCAATCACTACAAGTGGCTATTATAGGCTACTGCAAGATCTGATATTTTGGTGTAAAATTAAATACAATATGTTGTAAATGACCATTTTACTGATACATTCAATAGCAATGGCCTTGTTCACAGGTGATCTCCTTACAAGCTCCAAGAACAGGTGTGAACCAACCAAAGATGCATTGAGGTCGCATTTGAAAGACCGTCCACCCAACTGACATCCTCTGACCCTCTACAGCAGGAATATATATTGAATTATTATACTGATCAACAACTGACTGTCGCATCAAAGAAAGAATAATGCAATAATATTTCAATAATATGTATTGTCAGTTTTCACAGTGAACTGGAGGGATTAAAGTACTAATACAAACGAAACGCTCTTTTGTCATGTGAGGTAGAACAATTATATATATAACAGAAAGCTTTTTCTGAAAATGTGCATCTCCAAATAAAGAGCTTGATTTTAGAAAATGTAAATTTGTGTACATTTTGTTTCTTTTTTCTTTTTGTCAGTCTCAATTTTATTATGATTTTTTTTTTTATTCAACTGCTTTATCACCTGTTTTTGTTTGTCCTGCCAGGTTTCTAAATCTGGGCTGAGATTGGTGGCTTTTAACAATCACCACGGTCTCTTTTTTACCCTCCCGATACTGATTCCAATACCTGGATTTTGCAAATCAGCCGAAACTAAGTACCACCAAGTGGTGGTGGTATTTTTCTCACACACTAATTTTGTGAAACTGACATACAGAGAGACATGGTATATATAGACACACAAACTTAGCTGCTGTTGGTTTGTAACAGTTGATTTGTTATTTGTTATTTTCATCAGCTACAGCGATGCTCCGAATTAGATACAAATCAGAAACTGCAGCTGAATGTTTTCCACAATGATTTGCTAATGTAATTTACCAGTAGTAAATGTGTATATTTCTCCAACCTCAGTGTTTGCCCATGGGCCAGGAGCCCAGTGGTCCCCTGTTGTGGCTGCCCCCCCCCAATTGTGACAGGGACCAATCAGGCTCCCTTGTCCTTGTGGGCAAAAATATTCGAAGCCCTGTGGGATGTTGGCAGTTGGCATTTCCTTTATTTCATTGTGCACTTCACCCAGTCTCTTTTGTTATCTTACTAGACCTTATGGGTGGCGGCCGATATGTATTTTTTATTTATGAGAAGGTCGGTTAGCTTTATTAGTCAGGCAGTTTTTCTTTGTTTTGTGTGAAAACGTCAGTCAGTGGAGTAGGGACTAAGTTTAGGAAGAGGGCTTGCGTTTTGTTTATGTTGTTTTATGATTTGGAGTCACCCTGTTCACTGTTTTGTAAATCATTTAGCACGTTATACAATAAAAGTCTGTAATTGCCAGACACAATTGGTGCTGTGTTGCTTCCCTTAATCCTAGACCAGAACTGGGTTGTATCATAATTGGGGGGGGGGGGAGCCAGCCACAACAGGTGACCACTGGGCTCTTGGCCCATGGGCAGTGCTCTAGACAGAATCCCCTGGAGGTGCGTAGGGTGGAGGAGTGCTTCACCTGTGAATAATAGTTTTGAGGCCTAGTTTAAAGATGGCTTAAGTATGTGTTTCTATGTTTTCTGGTCTTGTTGATGCAGTGCTCACTAACGCAGACAAAAACACACAAGCACGTATTAAGATGACTACACCTCTAAGTAACAACACTGTTATTTACCTACCAATAGAATCTGTTCATCCCTAAGGGATCATCTCATGAATAATCACACACACAAAAGCATCTTATTAAGCACTTTGCAAAGATCATCTTACTTTCATGATTCCTCTTCCCCTGTTTCCTGGAGGGCATTGGCACAGGTACAGCAGGGCATCCACTTGTAGATGACAACCAACCATTGCCTGGGACTGTAGGGAACTGGGAAACTGTTGCTTGTGTAGTTTCAGTGGCAGCAGGCTGAGAGAAGGAAGCGATCCTCTGTAAGATTGAGCCAACACTATCTCTGGTATCACCAGCACAATCCTGCAAAGGCCGAATGGCTCTGGGGCTGGAGGGGCTTGATGAGCTGTAAGGGCTAGGTAGGATGGGGACCATGTGAACAGGTTGGGGCCCTGTGACAACCTCCAGCTTAGGGCTCTGAGTTGGCGTGACGAGCATTCGAGAGCAACTCATCTCTGGGTTGGGAACTGAGCCCTGTAAATGAGTTGGAGAACATGGGGAGAAAGGCAATAAGGGATTGTGCTGGGATACGGACAGAGTGTCAGAAATACTGTCCATGCTGTTGAGAGAGGCTGAAGGGCTGGCTTGAATGGTTGGAGGGCTGGTGTGATGCGGGACGCCCCCTGTGCTCCTTCGAGTGGGCTTGGGGTTCATGGATCCTGCTTGAGCCTTGGTGGGAGACGTTGAGGTGCTGCTCACCAAGCTGTCCAGATCCAAGGGAAACTTGTTGAGACGCGGTATCTCTTTGACCATAGGCTGGGGAGACTTGAGGACCTTTGGGACCACAACAGATATGTCATTATGAGGATGACCATTCCAGTTGGCATTTGCATTGGCATTACTCAACCCTCGAGACACCCTGCCTCCACCCACTATTCCCCCTCCTCCATCACAAATTTGGACATCTAGGGTGGGCATCGAGCCATGGTTCATCTCCCGAGGATGTGGAACACCCAGCATCATCCCTGACCCATGATCCATCTCGGTGTGGAAAACACTCCCATGGGAGGAGAACTTCTTCAGGCCATAGTTGCTTACCATGTTGGCAACTCCACCTAGGTGCTGTTGTGGTGGTTGGGGTTGGATTCGGTGAGATGGAGGGCTGGGATATGACCCAAGCTTGGAAAGAGGGACAGCAACCCCACCACCCCCAGAGTACTCCAGGCTGGACGAGGAGCTGTGAAGGCTGTCGTTGTCACTGCCAGGACCAGAAAACATGTAGTAACTTTTGGGATTTAACTTGCTCTGGAAGGATGAGGCTCTGGCCACAGAGGAGCCATTATGGTGAATGGCGGGCTTGTTCATGTTTCCTCGGTTGAAGGACAGGCTGCTAACAACTGTACGGGCCTTGAGAACAGGGCTGGGATTGGAATTCAGGCTTTTGCAGGAGTGGTGAGCTGTAGAATCCAAGTTGTTGTTGTTGAAGGCTAACGAAGAGGACTGACCATCTCCACTACTCCCTTCAGTGGCTTTATTGTGGTTGAGGAAGAAATGTGGGGAAGGGTGAGAGATGGGTGAGGAGATAGGGGACGGTGAGGAGAAGGATGGTATGTCATCCACATCTTCAATTTCAAAGGATCTCTTCAGTGCTGCAAGTGAGAAGAAAGAAAACACAAGTCGTTAGGAAAATGTATCAGTTAAACTAAAACCTTACACATTACTGTGGATGCTATCCAGTTATTGAAGCTGAAGCATTCTGTCAGATAGGAATGAGTGTAGAGATGAAGCAGTGTGAAACTTTTGTATCACGATTATCAGTATTATCGCTGTATTGTTAAAAAACGTACAAACTGATACACAAACTATAGTGACTTTATATTGACAAAATATCAGTGTTTATTTAAGGCATGCATTTGGCACCGGTGAATGTTAGCATTGGTTAGCTCTGGCCAGAGATTACAGTTCTCTTGCTGTAACAGCCCCGACCGGATTGCTGCTCCTCCTGCCATGTATTTACGACACATAACAAATGCTGCTCTTGCTGTGTCTGCATCTTGGAGACTTGCTGACTTTGGTCGATGCTGGACATAACATCACGGCATAATGTTTCCTCTAGGATTTCATTGCAGCACTTTCCAAAACTAAATAAATCAAAAGTGATCTAATTATTTTGATTATTTTCACTTTGCTCTTGATGTCCTTCTTGTTCGTGTCATGTTACGTCTCCTGTTGTGTTCTACCATGAGCTCAACACCACAATAATCATCAGTGGTTTTGACGACAATTTAAATTTCACATGGAAAATACGAAACGTTGTTAATTATTAAACCGGTAACCAGTCACCTATTAAGCTACAGCTACTCTGAATATACATCAGAATGTGATCTGTCACACGAGCAGTTTCGGCCTTTGTTTGAATTTGGACTTAGCAAAAACGGTGGTCAAATTCTCCAAATTGAAGTAAATTATATGTTCTCCTCTCTGATCTAGCGCGGTTTGTAAACTGCAATGGATATTTACAAGAACAATATTGGGCAATTATCCCTATTATGATCTCTGTTTCTCAACTAACTGGCTCACGCTTGCCTGGCTTCACATGCACCTTGTAAAAAGGCATTGTTCTGGGTAGATTGTTAACGCAAGCTGATTTATTGTTTGCTGCAGAGTCATTGTTCGGCTGACATGACAAAACCCGACCAGAACCCAAAAGTAATTTCTAAATATTTTCTCCAAACCCAGCTCTTCAAAATGTTTGTAACACTTTCAGAATTAATGTAGCAGCTACTGCTGTGCTTCATTTAACAAATACTTTTTGTAGACTCTCCCTCCAACCTTTTCTCTGCTGTAACTTAAAGCAGACCATTATATCATGTAGATTACATTTTTCCTCCACCAGTTTTCAAACATTTACTCCAGTGGGGAGGCAGCTAAGTCATGTGAGCTACACAAGGAACAGCATTGGCTGGCCTACTCCCCCTACCTCAGGTAATGTTGCCACAGTTTTTGCCAAACACACAATGAAAAAAGACCCAACTTATCAATACTTAATTTTTTTTGCTAAGTATTTTCATACCAATTCATTTCCATAACCAAGAAACAAGTGAATCTTAGGCCAGAGATGCAAAATAAAACACATGTTTTGATACACAGCAATTTTTCTCTACATTTGCAGTACACAACCCAGAGCATTCATACTTGTTAAGAGGAGACAAAACTGAGTGTGTGCATTCACAGTGCTCAGCTTAAGGAGCTAAGATGTTATAACCGTGTTGAAGAAACACTGATTTTTCTTTTTTATGAATGTGCATTCATGGTGAATACATTCAGTGAAGGAGTTTCTGTTTAGAACGGGCCAATGTGTGGATTCAGTAACACTGCCATCATTGAGTCCATCACCATATTGCACGCTGCTGCTACTGCCAAGGACCAGGCCGGGTGATCGGCTGCAACCTGTCCTCTCTCCGGGACCTGTGGCGTGCAGGTACGATTTTGGCCGACCCCTCCCACCGTGGACATGGACTCTTAGAACCACTTCCCTCTGGCAGGAGGCTGCAGGGCATCAAAGCTCAAGCCACAAAAACAGTTTTTTCCAGGCTGCTGCTGGCTTCATCAATAAGGCCTGGGACACTTCCACTGAACTGCACTGCTATATCTATATTTATTTATAAAATGCTCATAAATTGTGTAATCAGTGAGGAGATTTTAAAAAATCATTGATTTATACCTCAGATTTGTAAAATGTTTGGCTGTTTGGCAAGTGTTTGTTATTGTCGCCTCGACATCATTTTTGGGCATATAATCCACTCTAGTGTAAATCATTCAATTTTCATATTGTCATTTCATAGTCACAAAAAAACCAGCTCTGATTAACAAAGTGGTCTTTTATAAAGAGGAACCTACAGATAATTATGATCTAAATCTGCAGTTAAATAATTTGTATTATATAGAGCTTTTGCTGACCACTCAAAGCAGCAACATTTTTTCTATGAGGGGTGATTCGGGGGTTCAGAGTGCCCAAGGACAAAACACAAGACTGGGATCGTACCACCGTCCTTCTGGTTAGAGGATGGCCACCAACAACCACCCTTCCCTCAGATTCACAGCTTAGTATTTAGTCATCTGCCTCCAAGTCTGCTGGTTTCGGTTTTGATGACTGCTAAAGACAAATTGACACCAGTTCAGTTCTAAACATAAGTTGAAAGTGTTTAATTCAAAAGGTTTGTGGTGGCATCACTTCTTTATGAGGGGTGGGCTATTGATCGACTGTGAGAAGGCCTCTCCCTGCAAAGGTTAAGATGTCGCCTCACCTAGGTGTCTGGCTCTATCTATATAAGATGGTGGCATTAAGCCAGCCTCTCTCTTCCTTTTGGCTTTCACAGCTTTTGGTTTTAGTTGGTTCTGATGTCAACACTTACATTTGCTTTTCATTTCTTCAAATCATCAATCATCATTAAAAACTTGTGTGTAGTCTTCCCTCCTTTGTACAGCCTTGCACCCAGCTGTGGCAAAAACCTCATGAGGCAAAATGAAGGCGTTAATGGCAATAAGGAGGAGAATACTAGTTTTGCCGACTCCACTTCATCAACAATGTTGATAAAGCATTACCATGAAGTACCTCATTGTCAATGACGCACTTACAACAACCTTTTCTGGCAGAAACACAGAACATGACTGATGTGGAATTAAGCTGTGGGAATGTAAATTATTCTGTATTTCTACTACATGTCTTTTACCACCCCTCAATATTTATGGTATTACACTGCAATAAATGAATTCTCACCACACAATTCAGCTGTGACTATTATATATATATGTATATATGTATTTACTGCTTGTTTATGGACATGAAATAAGAGGAATGTACAGTTACATCTTTGCATCTTCACACCCAGACAGGGTTCATACAATACCTTTTGTTTCATTACTACTTGAGCCCAATGGTCACAGATATTCCCTGGGCTCCAGGGAGGCTAGGTAAGGGCATGTGTGGTGTGAGGGGGTAGGGCTTTGTTAGCTGAGGCTACAAGTGTGAACCTGCTCTCCAAACGAAAGATAAGGAGACCTGCTATCAGGTAATTTCTGGCACACTGTCAAACACTGGGGAAATAATTGCGGAGCAGTAATGTGCCCTGTGTGTGTGTTTTGACTATGTTTGGCTCCACGCCCTCTGTTCTCACAGTTGTGCAGACCCTAAACCCCACCTCTTACACAATGCCTTCAAAATCTGATAAAGAGAGATGCTCAAACTCAGTCTCTCTATCTCTCTCACACACACACACACACACACACGCACACATATACACACACACACATAAACACACAGACACATATACACACGCACACATAAACACACACACGCATTTACACACACACACACTTAAACACAGATACTAGTGTGCTAGCATAGGGAAGGAGGCATTGGGGTCGATAGATTATCAGCCGGGCCAATTATCAGTTTGGATTGATAATTAACGATAAAACAAACTGAAAATACACTTTCACCTATTAAAATGCCATGCCTCGGTATATCTTACTAATTCCTGCATAATGCATGAAGTAAAAGATAAAATTACCATCCACTTCAAATGTTATGCAGTTTGCCTTTGTATAATATTGGTACAAATGTAGCTAGAGATGAGCGCTTATTGAATGGTCAAAAATAATATTGAATCTTCTATATGCACAGAGGCCCCCAAATAGTCTTGAAAACATTATGCTGAAGCTTTTTATGAAAAGCTTGATCATTATCACCAGTGCAGGCAGGGATCTGACTGTTTCCTGAACTTGAAATTCACTTGGCCTGTGTGTGAACGCAGATCCAAAGGAGTATAGCTGTGGACATTTAGGCTAAAAACATGGTGTAAATGACGCCATTATGAGTTGAACTTGAATGTCAGGGCTTACGGACACTTGGGCGACACCACAGGAGCAGTATGGAGGCATTTTCTGTTTTTTCTGTTAAAGATGTGGTCGCCAGTTACTTCAACTGTATTGGAATCAGCTGCAACAATGTTTACCCATTCTGTGGACTCCCACCATCGGCATAGTGGTTAGTAGATAATGAGTGAATTAAAATTTTTTTGGTGAACTATCCCTTTAACATCTGAAAAATGGCAGAGGCAACCACTGGTAACGGGAGTAATACGTTTATTAAATGCAGTAGCTTCAGACAACTTCATTAGACTACTGGTTTGGGACCAAAATGTGGAAACGCTTTTCAGATTCAGCTGTGAGTGACAGCCACTCCATACGATTCAGTTGAAGCATTACAATAGCTGCTTTCAGACATGCATTAAACTCTGCAGTCGCTCAGTATTTTCTCCCAGAGAAGGTGCATGTGTGAATGCAAATGTCGCTGCGCAGTTTCTGCTGACTTTATCCCCCTGGCCCCGAGAAGAAGTCAATGTGTGAACACACCGTGAGTCAGTGGTGGTGGGGGTGGGTTCATCTCTCGACTGAATAATGTGAAGGATTTGTTGCTCTTGTAAAGGCGTCTGTGTCGAGAACCTCCAGCTGCGTTGTGCAATGTGTGACGGGCAAACTGCAGATAAACTCCATCGCCAATTCTCCAGATTTTGACAGCAGGCCACTTTTGAAAACAGCTAATTAATTCCAGTTTCAAATATCTACGATTAATAGTAGTCATAAT